AAAACTACACTACGGTTCCGACGGTCATGTACGAGTCGTCGATCTCCGCACTCAAAGCGGTATATTAACAAGACCTCTCTTGAAACTTTGTTTTCTACCACACATTGACGAAACCGCAAATAACGAAAAACCGCCGATACTACCGTAACGCAATAAAATAACCAAAAACCCGACGTAATAAACCCGCAAACAAAACCCGCGTTGAAACTAATCCGAAACCTAACCCAATGGTAATCTACGTGACGACTCTTTCATGCCACATAACGTGGATGTGGATATGCCAGCAGTGCCAACGCCAGCGGCAACCACCACTGCAACCGCTCCTCGTAGTTGCCCGCGACCACTGCCACCGCCCTCAGCACAAGTAGCGGAATCTCAGCGGAGCCGATGTCCCCTATGTCGGCGGCCACACCGGCTACAACATTGTAGCATTTTCCGCAGCATGCAGCCCATGCAACGGCAGAAGGTTGCTCAAGCTCACGGACACTGCCTGAACTGCTTGGCAACAATGCACACAACACAGGAGTGCATATCAGTCACCCTATGCCAACACTGCAACCGCTCCTCGTAGTTGCCCACGACCACTGCCACCGTCCTCAACACAGGTAGCGGAATCTCAGCGCAGCCGATGTCCCCTATATCGGCGGCCACACCGGCTACAACATTGTAGCATTTTCCGCAGCATGCAGCCCATGCAACGGCAGAAGATTGCTCAAGCTTACGGACACTGCCTGAACTGCTTGGCAACAATACACACAACACAGGAGTGCATATTAGTCACCCTATGCCAACTGTGCAATAGGCCGCACCACACCATGCTGCATCGCACCCCAAAACGACCCGTTGCACGACAGCTTGCTACGAACCGGTCGCAGCAGCCCCGTCGACACCGAAGGCGTCGGCAGCATCGTACCCCAAACCGCCGCTCCACTGGCCTTAGCAGCGTTGTTGTCACGCTGCAGCAATTACAGCGATTGCTAGGCTAATATTCGCCTAGGGGGGCCGGGATGGCTAGATGAGTTAGCTCTCCCCTCTATACTCACTGCACTGAACGACAACACACCACACCAACGCGATCCACATACGTAGACACCACACATGCAGACATTCCGAATGAAGACACCACACACTACTACACACGAATATATAGCACACATGCGGACATAACACCACAACTCTACACTACCCAACAATCAAAACCGACCGCTCCAGAGGACGATCTCCCCTTTTTTACGTCGATTTCGCACCGAGCACACGTCCGTCGCAGCATCATATTCTTTTGTATTGTTATTTTCCGCATCCTCCGTATATTTCTCGGCAAATAAAACCAAGGAACCCCAACCAACTGTGTTTTTTTTTCTTCTTATTTTGCAAGTAAAATACCTAGTGTTGTGTTGTTTTACAATAAAAAAAAAAAGGAATACAAATTTCAATTTGCTTTCTTTTAACAAAAAGGATAAATAAGTAAACAATAGTAAATAAGTAAAAACAATAAGTAGTGTATTTCGGAAGTCGAATTGTGAAAATATTTATATATGTACATATATGGATAGGCGTCTATATATATATAACTAAAGAGTTGATATATACCTTGATCTTGTTCTTTCACCTTCGCGCATATACTCTGAAGAGTTATAATCATTAATTGGAGAATCAAAGTCTTCTGCAACCCTCTCATCTATTTCGTTCAACGTAGTGTCTGCTTTCGTCATTATATTATGCAATATAACGCTAGACTAACAAACAAAGCGGAAGTTTCGTGTGAATAATGTAGAACTCGGTGCTTTAAAAAACATCTGAAGCGTGATTTTAAAACACCAAATGCTCTCTCTATGCAGTTTCTTGCAGAACCATGTAATTTGTTGTATTTTTGTTCTTTATGGGTATTAGGTACTCCCATTGGTGTTAAAAGTTACGATTCTAGAGGATAACCTTGATCGCCAAGAAGCCAAGATTCTCTCCGTTGTTGCTCAGACGTATTATTTTATTTATTTATTTATTTATAAATATGAAAAAAATAATACAATTATAAATATAAATAATACAATTATTTATAATAAATAATACAATTATTTTTTTTTACACGAAAAAAGAAGCACTGGCTGCCAGGACCTTCGGCTCTCAGACGTATTAGTATGCCGACGAATGAGATGTTCTCGTCAGAAGTTGCCCATATTCCAGAGTCATGTGTTGCACCCGGAAATTTGGCATATACAAATGTAAAACATAAACGGTGAAAGCAAACCTAAAAAGCGATACATTCAAAAATTGCGTTGGCGTATATGTGCATGCAAAAACAAAACTTACTGCTTCAACATTGATGCTGTTGAATCCTTTTCTATTTAAAGATAAATTAAGAGGGCGTTCGACATTATTTGATGGTGGAGCAATGATAGCAATATGCGTGCAGTCAATTGCTCCTATGGTGCTTTTTATTCCAAATTTTCTAAAAAATCTGGAATATATTTCAAATAAATTATTATTTATATTACAATAACACTTGCCCCGTTTTTATAAAAGTTTCTTCCTCTCTTGAACTGGGAAACTTTATTTCTCCTCCCTTCACCGTCACAATAAGTTTTGCCACACCTCGCACACTTCTCGAAAGGAACGACTGACTCATGGGCAAGTTGACGTTGTTACGGGTTGTGTTTAGTATCGCGCCGGTTAATTTTGGCTCACCGTACCTAAACGAGAGAACCAAATGGAAAATTTTAAACCCGCATGTATGCTTAAATTATCGACATTTGTTTTAAAACATATTTTATAAAAATCGGTTCACAAATTTTTCCACAWATTCACTTTAAAAAATGCTATTTTTTGCAAATTTCTAAATATATGCTAGTGTATTTTCATCTGTTCTGGATTGTACCAAACCAATTATGGATACATTTTCACGCACATATATTACTTATGAATTTTAAAAACCACTAGTAATGTTTTTAATTACTTTTAATTGTTAATTTCTTTGTAAATCTTTAAATAAAATACACCTTTTTCTGCATTGAGTTCAATAATGCGAAAAACCAAAATGACTGCCTTATTTGAACTGTCAAATTACCGAGAAAGCACGAACAAAAGGGAATAAATTAAACCCACTTAGCAATAAACGTATGAAGTGAACGCGAAAAGGTGTTCAATGCTAAAATACTGTGGATGGCGAAGCCGGTGTTGGACCGGCCAGGATTATTTTTTTAAAGCGCGGCCGAAGGCCGCCAGTACATAAAGGAGTTCTACGCGAAAAAACCCTGAACACCTAGGTGTTGACTCGACCAGGGTTATTTTTTTTTGAAGGGCGGCCGATGGCCGCTAGTACGGAAAGGAATGAAATGCTAAGATACTGTGGAGGAAAAGGTGTTCAAAACTAAAATACTGTGGATGGCGTAGCCGGTGTTGGACCGGCCAAGGTTATTTTTTTAAAGCGCGGCCGAAGGATAGATGCAATTAAATATGTATATACATTGCGCTGAAACATTTTGGCTTTTTTTATTTTGATTTCTTGTCCATACAAAAATGTTGGCTGGGTTGCATTTGTTTCAGTTTGTATGGAAAAATTAGCAAAAACACTGAAAAAGTTCGATCCTTCCTCTTTCCAATAAGGGTCGGGAGGGGGGGTTAGCCCGACCCTGTTTTTCTGCATAAACGATACTTAACCGGCGCGATACTAAACAATCCCCGTTGTTACCTACACATTTCTGGTATGAGCCGTGTCTAAAGAAGTTCAAAGCTGCTAGAACCCTTACAGTTAAAGGTAGTGACGTTTTCTGATTATCATGTGGGGCCAGTTCATCAATTAGGCGGCGGCAAATTTCACGAGTTAATCGAAAATTTTGAACAAAGGTATTCTCGCTCAAAGGAAATGGATTGCTATCGTCGCGTAAACATTTTATATGCCATGCGCGATTCCTATTCTCACAATTTTCATCTTAGTTTAGCAATAATAACAAAAGTAAAATATCTTCCATTTTCACAACAAGATGCACAATCAGATATTTAATTCATAACGAGCACTGCTGTCAAGAATATTTGATATCTCAACAACTTATAAAGAAAAGGGCTTTTTGTTTCAAACATAGAATACCAAATGCTTAAAAATTTAAAATTTTGACAAATTAGAAATATGTTGAATTTGTCAAGTGCACAGAATACACCCCTATTGCTAGTAAAAACATGTAATCCTAACGATCATACATTCCACTCATTTTAAATAATTGCTTTCTCATCGGCTTGTATTTTCAAATATCCTTGAACCTGTTTATCTTCGATAATGACAAGACAATACAAAACATAAATATAAACAAACACAAAACAATCACTTGCATGCAATATTCATGCATTCAACATTTAGCAATATGGATGATATGATTTCTATGTGTGATTTCAGCCATTTTTAATATGCCATGACCTGTATTTTTTCATTGTACTCAGTAATGATTACACATTATTCAATTTCATTATCAAAACATTAATAAATAATTAAGAAAATAATCTTCTCCGATGAAACTCATTTTCATAAATAAAACTTTCGATTCTGGTTTAATGGCTCTGATTAAAAAGATAATGTTTTTTCAGCTTAAACTAGAAGTATTAGTAGACAAAGGAGCAACACGTCTTAGAGACGATTTCTTATTTTGACTATAAACGCTTTCAAAGAAGGCATATCCCACAAATACATACAAAACTATTTTCAAATGATATAACTAATAGAGCCAAGGCTTAATTAAATTTCTGATGGAAATGTTAAACATACAAATTTATTATTGCACACCACTTCCCAATGCTACGAGTATTAACTGTAACCGGCGAGCCTGCCTTTAGACGGTGTACAATTAATATGTATGTTGCTATGCAGCTCATATTTCAAATCTCTGTTCTAACGGTAAATATCAGCAGACAACAACACACTTCTCTTATTGCAACAAATCACAGTAAGCATTCGTCATTTGATTGCAAACCGTTGAGTGCTAAAGTCAATTTTTTGACAAAGTGTGAAATGGAGTTTTTAAAATAGTATAAAATCGTTAAAATTCATGATTTGCGTGAACAAAAGTTTTCTCATATAGGTAAATACCTATTATTTTATTTTTTGTGCTTAATTGTTAAGTTTTTAGCAAAACTTTGTTTGTAGCCGGTGAAAATGGAACACCGTCTAAAGGCGGATCTGCCGGTCAACAGACCGCCACAGACCACACCATTCCGTTGATTTAATTATTTTTTCAACGATGACTTGCAAAATTAAATTGTGTATCAGAGCAATTTGTATGCAAAACAGCAAGATGCTTCTACAAACTTTACGTTGACATCGTGTGATTTAAAAAAATATATCGGAATTTTGATTTATATGTCTGTGTACCGATATCCCAGTGTCGAGAGTTACTGGTCCAACATTCTTTCGAGCCAGTTAGAAACGCAATGTCTTCCAAAAAGTTCTTCTCAATCGGAAAATATCTTCACTTCAATGATAGCAAAAATATGAAAAAACCACAGGAAGCAGGATTTGATGAACTGCATAAAATTTGTCCAAACTCAATATGCAATTTGATTCTGTGCCAAAAACAGCTCGGTTGTGCATTGATGAACAAATGTGTTCAACAAAAATGTTGACAAAATTTCGACAATATATGCCCGTAAAGCCCTATAAATATGGCATGAAACTTTTTGTTCTTTGTGACTCGAATGGCTTTTCGTACAAATTGGAAGTATACAAAGGAGCTGGCGATAATAAAGTATTACCTAATACTCCTGATTGAGGATCAACAGCCAATGTAGTCATGAAGTTGTTAAGTACAATTCCAAAACCACATTTCAAAAACCACACTTTGATAATTTGTATACCTCTCTGCCACTTCTTGTTTAGGAACCGTCCGATCTACAGAATACCCAACTACAAGCTGACAAAGGAAGTGGAATTAAAAGATAAAGAACGTGGATACTCAGAGGAGTTTGTTGGCCGAGTCTTTAGAGTGGACATATCTTGTGTTCAATGGAAGGATACAAAATATGTACGACTGCTATCCACGTATGCTGGAATTAATCCATTTAAAACACTAAACCGCAATTCACAACCCTTAAAAATATGCCGTTATGATCGGAAAAATAAATGCTACGTCGATCTAGACTGTCCTAATATAATTAAAGAATATAACCGCCATATGGGTGGTGTTGATTTGATGGACAGTTTACTTGGTCACATCAGAGTTAAGACCAAAAAATGGACTTTGCGTTTATTTTATCACTTAATTGATATGTCGATAGTAAAATCATGCCTCCTTTTTCAGCGTATTCATGGAATTAACTGTAAAGATATTTATCATAAAGAATTACCAAATTTTCGTGTTGAAGTGGCTTACATATGTACTTTGTCATTATGAGTAGACCAACGCCAAAAGAGCTGTCGGTAGACCTCAGAGCCAAAGTCCACAAATACAAAATGGAGTTGGACATATGCCTGACGTTTTGAGCCGTAGTGACAAAAAAGTATGTAAACTTCCGGGATGTAAGTCCGAAACACAAATGTAGTTGTGTAAGTGTAAATTAAATCTGGGTCTCTCAAACAATGTTTTCAAATTTATCATCAAAACAATAAAAGGATCTGAATAAAATTTCAAGAAAAGTCATCCTCTAATAAAAGTTTTTTATTACGTTACCAGGCAGGTCCGCCTTTTGGCGGTCAACATATTTTCTCACCTGGAATGTAAGTTTAGATTTTTTTTTACCTTTTAACATTAACGTATATTTATTTACCCAAAAACTATGAAAAAATAATTTCTTTCAATCGAAAAATAATTGGCTAGTTAGAGGGTTAATGATCAAATAGAAAGAGTTCATTCCGCTCCAATTGAAATCTCTAGATGTTTTAAACAAGTACACAGCTTAATAAGTAATTTTGAATCAATTATGACAACCTAGTACACTTTTATTTAATGCAGAAACTCATGAAAATATGAGAGATGTATTAAATAATGCTGAAGTAAATAAAAATGCTAGTGCACCATAATAAAAAAAGATTGCAAAGAATTATCGTAAAGGGGAAATTATATAGAAAATATATATGGCGAAAGAAATAAACGAAATCACAAATATAAAAAACAATTAGCGTAAGAAGATTTAAGAATAAAGATTAATACTAATATTGGGTAGTCGATTGCAGTGGTATATCCCCAGTGCTATCAATCACATTATGTCATCATTAAAAAAAATAAACTCGTGGAAGTTGAAAAAAGTTCTTCTTCTTCTTAATTGGCATAGACACCGCTTACGCGAATATAGCCGAGTTAACAACAGCGCGCCAGTCGTTTCTTCTTTTCGCTACGTGGCGCCAATTGGATATTCCAAGCGTAGCCAGGTCCTTCTCCACCTGGTCCTTCCAACGGAGTGGAAGTCTTCCTCTTCCTCTGCTTTCCCCGGCGGGTACGGCGGGTACTTTCAGAGCTGGAGTGTTTTCGTCCATTCGGACAACATGACTTAGCCAGCATAGCCGCTGTCTTTTAATTCGCTGAACTATGTCAATGTCGTCATATGAATCTCTCGTATAGCTCATCGTTCCATCGAATGCGATATTCGCCGTGGAAAACGCGCAAAGGACTAAAAATCTTTCGCAGAACTCTTCTCTCGAAAACTCGCAACGTCGACTCATCAGGTGTTGTCATCGTCCAAGCCTCTGCACCATATAGCAGGACGGGTATTATGACTGACTTATAGAGTTTGGTTTTTGTTTGTCGAGAGAGTACTTTGCTTCTCAATTGCCTACTCAGTCCGAAGTAGCACCTGTTGGCAAGAGTTGTCCTACGTTGGATTTCTAGGCTGACGTTGTTGGTGGTGTTTACGCTGGTTCCAAGATAGACGAAATTATCTACGACTTCAAAGCTATGACTGTCAACAGTGACGTGGGAGCCTAGTCGCGAGTGCGACGACTGTTTGTTTGAGGATAGGAGATATTTCGTCTTGCCCTCGTTCACTGCCAGACCTATTTGATCTGCTTCCTTGTCCAGTCTGGAGAAGGCAGAACTAGCGTCGTGGGTGGCATACGCCAGAAGCTGTACATTCTTATAGAGGATTGTACCTTATCTATTTAGTTCTGCAGCTCTAATTATTTTCTCCAGAAGCAGGTTGAAGAAATCGCTCGATAGGGAGCAGCCTTGTCTGAAATAGTTAGTATCGAACGGCTCGGAGAGGTCCTTCCCGATTCTGACGGAGCTTTTGGTGTTGCTCAACGTCAGTTTACATAGCCGTATTAGTTTTGCGGGGATACCAAATTCTGACATCGCGGCATAAAGGCAGCCCCTTTTCGTGCTGTCGAAAGCAGCTCTGAAATCGAAGAAGAGGTGGTGAGTGTCGATTCTTCTTTCACGGGGATTTGGATTTGGCGTATGGTGAATATCTGGTCGGTTGTTGACTTTCCAGGTCTGAAGCCACACTGATAAGGTCCAATCAGTTTGTTGACGGTGGGCTTTAATCTTTCACACAATACGCTCGATAGAACCT